TGATGATGGGGAATTAATTTGATCAGTAGCTGACGCCATATCAAATCAACTACAAATTGATCAGGGAAGAAAGGAAGAGAGAGCAATTATCATTGCTCTGATACCATATTGAAGAAAGGAAAAGGAATAAAATCTATTGTATTCTTCACGTTAACTTGCATCTATACAATAGGGTATAAATAGAAGAGGAAAAAGAACAAACTAAAAACAAACTCTAACAAACTGTAACAAAAAGAATGTGAATGAAAATGACGTGGCTAAACAAACTATTCTAGCTTCCAATAACATTCAGTCCTTAGCTCCAGCTGTAATCCTTGCTGCCTTGCTAGATTCTGTTACAACTAATTTAGAAAAATTCAACTAAGCACACATAATTGATTATTGTCGGAATTTGGTGTTTGAAATTTAGTAGATGACTATTGTGAACTTGTTAATCTAACACTTCTCAAACATCAATTAAAATTCTGATTTATTACCTATGCACGTTTTAATTGTTTTAATAGCTAGATTAATTATTTAGGGTAATAATCAAAATCAATTTTAATTGTTGAAATCCGAATAGAAGTTACAAATAGTTAAAATAATAATTAGATAGATAATCATTGTGAGAACGATAATTTGAATAACTTATTAAATGATACCGTACACTTAATGAATTCAACAAGTCTGCTAGTTCAATTTTAAATTGAGAAAAGCCATTCAAACAAGGAATTTCTCCAGGGTTTGGGACAGGGAGCCCCCTATTGGTGGGGCGGGAAATTCCCTGTCAATCCAGCAAGCTTCAAATTACTGTTTCTTTTGTTCTAAATGAGACGTTGAAAACTTCAAACAAAAGCCAGCAAAAAACATAAATAAATAATAAACTATCTATTGATATCAGCAATGATCATAGCTTAAAATCTTCTTATATTTGGCTCTTTCTTGACTTTATTATTCCGTACAACCGAATAAGAGTCTGCAATATCAGCATTCTTTACAGAAGAAACGAGAGAATAGAGAGGGATTTCATTCACGGAGAGACAACCTGGTAGTTTCAGAATACTAATGTTTCCATGGTTGGCTCATGGTCATCTAAACCCCTACCTTGAGCTAGCCAAGAAACTATCACAGATAAATTTTCAAATTTACTTTTGTTCTACAGCTATCAATCTTAGTTCAATCGGTAAAACCATTGAAAAAAACATTTTTAATATCTCGATACAGCTAGTAGAACTCCATTTACCGTCATGGCCTGAACTTCCTCCACATTACCACACGACTAAAAACGTGCTACCCAATCTTTTGCCAAAGCTCCTGCAGGCCCTTCAAATGTCAAGCTCTAGCTTTACAGATATTCTCAGCAAGCCAGACTTGCTATTATACGATATTTTCCAACCATGGGCTGCCTCGCTTGCTTCATCACTAGGTATTCCTGCAGTTCATTGTTCATCTGCAGGTGCAATTATGTATTCTTTTTACCATCATGAATTCACGTATGGGAATGCTGCTTTCCCTTATGAAGCAATATATATAAGAGAACACGAAAGAAACAAATGGAAGAATCGGTCGATAATTAAAGATGCAGGTGAAGATTTTGCTTTTGGGAACTTCAAACGATCTTGTGACATTGTTTTGACGAATAGCTGCAGGGCAATTGAGGATAAGTATATTGATTATTTTTCTAAGTCGTGCCAAAAAAAAGTGGTGACTTTTGGACCACGTGTTACACAAGCTGATAGTGAAGAAGAATATTCAGAGATCATGCAGTGGCTAAGCCAGAAAAATCAGTTATCAACTGTGTTTATTTCCTTCGGTAGTGAAAACTACTTGTCCAAGGAGCAGATTGAAGAGATGGCGTGGGGATTAGAGCTTTGTGATGTCAACTTCATATGGGTTGTCCGATTTCCTGTTGGGAATACCACAAGAATAGAAGAAACACTGCCAGAGGGATTTCTTGAGAGGGTGAAAGACAGAGGTATGATTGTGCAGAGATGGGTACCACAGGCTAAAATTTTGGCACATCAAAGTATTGGGGGTTTTGTGAGTCATTGTGGATGGAGTTCTATGGTAGAAAGCATTTATTTTGGTGTTCCGGTTATAGCCATGCCTTTGAAAATGGATCAGCCTATAAATGCTAGGCTCATGGTCGAGCATGGCACTGCCGTGGAGGTTGTGTTGAATGACAGTGGACGGTTCAAGAGAGAAGAGGTGGCAAAGGCTATAAAGATGGTGGTGTTGGAGAAGACAGGAGAAGGCATGAGGTCAAAGGCTATTGAATTGAGCAGTAAGATGAAAGATGAAGCAGAAATAGGCATGAATGAAACATCAGAGCAGTTATTGCAGCTATGTATTAAGTATAAGCAGAAGCAGTGATAATCTTTATTCAAACATTTCCTAAAATTGGATAGAAGAAATAAGCGAGCACCATTCAAAAGGAATAAACTCCATGGGAGAGTATGAATCAAATTGTGTTCCATCTATCTATCTATTTATCTTAAGATCAATTCCCTTCTCTTAAACTAGCTTAGAAACTATCAAAGAAAAACGTCCTATTTTTGTTCTACAGAATCTATCTTAGTTCAATCATTAAAAGCATTGAAAATAACTTCTGCGTTATATAACTGGTGGAACTCCATTTACCATCAGGGGGGCTGATTTTCTTCCTCACTACCACAAAATGAAAAAACTTGCCGCCTGATTTTATGCCGAAGCTGTCATTAGAAGACGAGCCGGCTGTTTTTTTCCCTGTTTTAGTCTAGAAATTGATGCTGTAGTTCAATTGAAGATGACATTGTGTTTTGCTCTGAAATAGACGTTGAAGCCTTCAAATGGAAGTATCTAATACACTTTCCAATAAGAAATGTTCTTCCTCACTACCACAAAATGAAAAAACTTGCCGCCTGATTTTATGCCGAAGCTGTCATTAGAAGACGAGCCGGCTGTTTTTTCCCCTGTTTTAGTCTAGAAATTGATGCTGTAGTTCATTTGAAGATGACATTTTGTTTTGCTCTGAAATAGATGTTGAAGCCTTCAAATGGAAGTAAATAATACACTTTCCAATAAGAAATGTCTGTAACGTCACCGAGGAGCTCATACATCATCAAAAAAAATACAAACATATCCAACTTACAAAATGAGCCTTTCTCGACTTTTTCATCCCTTTCAACTTAATAATGAATCACAATATAGAATTTCATCATATATGCTGATACATCATAACATACTTTTATCTGAATACTTGAAATTCTGCAGCTTTCATTCAAGGAGACGGAACAAACTAGTCTAATAATTCTAATGCTTCCATGTTGGTTCATCGTCATGTATTCCCCTATCTCGAGCTAACCAAGAAACTGTCACAAATAAACTTCAATATAAATTTTTGAACATGTTTAAGGACTGATTCCGAGCAATTGAGTGAAAACCAACATGGTAGTGCAAGTGATCAATTGCAGGTGAAGTAAAATAATGTTAGTACACGTCTCTATCACCTCTAGAGAGGTGGAGACTCAAATTCATCAATCTGAAGTAGAAGAAAGAGGTGGAACACTGGTAGAAGAACACCCAATTAACCCAGATCTTTTACTAATCTATCCGTTGGCTAGAGAGAGAGAGAGAAGTGTTATCATAGGTAACATCAAAGGTTCATTTACGATTCTGAGTTTTCTTTCGCTTATGCTAATTATGAAGAATTAGTCGATAGAGAGCCATTTTGTCGATTTTATCTCGTAAGTGGACAGATCGTAATAAGTAGTAAAGTGGACCTTATGAGTCCTAATTATTATTCCCATGAGGACTATACTTTAATACTCAATTTATTATTCCTAACTTCTATTTGATGAAAATAAACAAAGCACAAAAAATGTGATTTTTAAATCTAACTACTAAAAAATTCGTGAATGCAACAGAGAATGAGTGAGAATTCAAATAATATATGGAGATTAGGCGGAACAAATTCACCTATTGGTCGCCTTTGCTTCTAATATCAGGATTCATAAAATTAAAGTAGTGTTCGATCGAATTCTTCTATGATATTCAATTTACCCATCTCGAGTTCCCATTGAATTTATTTAAATAATTCAATTCTATATCTCTATGCGAATCAACATTATTCAAATGAAATAACAGTTCTAAAAATTCCTATAAGATCGTAGAAATTAATATACGTATCTCTACACGTAATATTAATTTATCGAATTTTAATATGTGATCTAAACAAAAATCTGCATCTCTACGTAATTCTTTTTTACTAAATCATTGAATAATTAGCCAGAAAATTCAAAACATTAAAAATATAATTAAAATCCACACATAAAATATAAAATAAAAAGAATTTTAAATAAAAGAAATAAAGATATTAAATATGTTACCTTATTTGCCCTAAAATTAAATTTAACTATGCATATTAATGAGAAAAAAAAAAGAAATTATCATGAAATTCATCGTCCTACTAATTGATGGAAAGTGAATAATTTGCAAAAAGTAAATCTGCCGTCTCTTTCTTCTCCGTGTGCTTCTGTCTTTCTTCAATTTTTCTACAACTTCCAGCTTCTGCGTAATCTCTTGACTCCCCCAATTCCTCTCTTCCTGTCGTATATATCTCTCTCCAAAATAATTAAGAAGCCACCAAATTTGACCAAAAAGGGATTCTAGCTTCTCCGATTTCCATGCGTGTATATAGGACATTGGCTGCCCTCTTTTTGCCTCCTGCGTGTATATATATCTCCTTACGGTAGGCAGCCCTTGTTGATATTTTATATGAGTTGAATTCCCAAGTAGCCCACATGTTTGACTCCAAATTCCTTTTCAATTTCTTGGCAGCCGAAGGTCCAATTTATAATTGGACTTTCCAGCCTTTTGAATTCTTATTAAAATTTGATTCCATTGGAGGCCCAATTAATAACTTATTTTCTTCAAGTCATTCAACTTTTAAGTTAATGCAATGTAGTCCTTGAGTTCCTCCATTGTGCAATCAACGTCCTCTTCAATTTTTCAAGTGTTGAATTTGATCTTCAATATTGCATCCACTGGCCAATTTGTTCTTTATGCCTTTCCATTTGCTCCAAGCGAGTCTATCACTAAAAACAAACTAAAATTAACTCAAGTTAAATAGAAATTAATAATTTGACGAAATAAAAGTTTAATAAAATGATCTAAATAAGTGCACAATTTGCACTCATCAAGCCAAAAGAGGTGAAATATTTTCTAGGGTTGTCAAGTATATAACTATTAGAGTCAGATTTGCATTAGTTGCAACTTTGACTGAATACTTGAATAACTTAATATAAAAATTGCTTTTCAAATAGTGAACTTGATAAAACAATTCTCATGAATCAACCACAAGATTTTAAAGAAAAACAAAAATCTGGATGTGCATGTTTTGTTAAAAGGTCTTCGTATGATTTAAAACAGTTTCCTAGACAATTGTACAAAAAGTTTGATTCACTCGTACTAAATATTGGTTTTCAAAAAATTAGGTTTGATCATAGCTTGTAGTAGTTATTTTTTTTTTTTTTTAATCTTATGTTGATGATTGGTTCTTCTGTGATTGAAGATAAAACTAGGGAGAGAACTTTTTATTGTCCTCACGTATAATGCACAGTAAGTTGGTCTTTTTATAGTACAAGGGAAATATATGGAAAAGGAAAAAAATAAATCTCCTACAATTCTAATAAATCATAATATCATATCTATGGTAACTGGAATAAAAGACAATTTTTACTCAATGAATTAGGGATTTCGACAGTGATATTGATAAATGAGAAAAAAATTGCAAAGACTTATAAAAAGCAGAGAGAATCCACCAGGTAAAATTCTTTATCACATTTATATCAAACTTCTTGTGTGTTAAAAGTTTGGCATGGATGAATGCAAACATGTTACATTGCCTTCAGTTGATTTGTTTTGTCTAAAGATTAGTCACATGCTAATGATAAAGACAAATGCATTAGTAGAATTCTTTATTCAAATGCAATAGTCGGTTGTTGATGGTGTGTACTAGGCCTGGCCTAATTTTTGTTGTGAGTATAATAGATTTATTTATAATTTAGGATCTAACCATTGGGAAGCCTTAAAGTGTATTGCTTAGATATTTAAGAGGATCGAGTGATGTAGGTCTAGTGTGTTAGTACCGATGATGCGAACTTAAAAGTTTTCATGGATACAAATTATGTATGGATTAGGATAATAGAAGTCCACTTTCTCATATGTGTTTACCTTGTGTAATTCTTGTACAAGTTGGAAGTCTCAACCCCAATATATATTGTCACTATCCACTACTAAATTTGAATACAATGGAACTTGTCGTTCACTGATCTCTGAGTTGATTTACGAAAAATGTTTTCAGTGCCTATCTCGTATACACACCAGGTTGGATTTATAAGCTCAGCTAGGTATTGTGTCCGCTGTAATATCAAAAGACATAATGATTGCAGATTCGTTATACCTTGTCAAATCATCCAATCGGTCAGATACACTTAGAAGAAGTGATGTTAGCATCTCCCAAACCCACAATTAACTACCATAACCACTTATCCCAGAACAGGTCATGATTTCCTAATAAAATGGGGATATTTTTGTGATTTGATTGGAACTGGCCTCATTAACCAATCATAGAAAAGATCGGTGGCATCCAAATCAAGCTTGACACTGTGGTTGATTAAATTGAAAAGACATAATTCTAGTAAAATAAGACTTAATCTCCTCTATAAATAGAAAGGGATGGTCCCCCTCCAAAGGACAAGTCTCATAGGACCATTTACTCCCACCACAAAAAAAAAAAAATACTTGTAACCTTCATTATTAATAAAAAAGCACTCGTTTTCTTAAAGTTGGCTCAAAACCGCACTCAGCAATTTTTGACATCAACAATACTAATTAAGTAATTAAAGAGTCATCGTGGCTTAGAACTGTGCGTTTTAAATAATATCGTGATCGTGTATTTAGATAGTCAATCACAATACATTTATGTAAGAATCCAATATTTCTTGAGTGTACTAAACAAATTGATGTTAGATTATATTTCATTAGGGATATTTTTACACAAGGAATAGCAAAACTTGAGAAAGTTCTTTCACAATATAATTAATATATGGGCACCAAGGTATCATCCTTGGTAAAGTTCAAAAGCTTTCTAATTCTTTTGAACATCAATAAAGGTCAGCAAGTTCCAATTTATATTTCTTTGATTGGTTAGTTATTGAATTCGTTTATTCTTGTTTGTAGGTAAGGATAAGATGCCAAAGAAGATGCACAAGTATTTTTTTTCCTCTATAAAGGTTTTTGGCATTAAGATTGAGGTTTATTGTCTTTTGTGTTGCCGAGCAACCCAAGGGCGATGATATAATGATTCAAACTTCATTAGTTGAATAAATTAAACAGCCCAAACATTTCATGTCAAATTGCTAGTTGACCCCGTCAAAAATATATAGTATTACTGGAGGATTAACACTTTTAATAAGTATTGCTCATATAACCTTGTGTTTTGGTGTATTTTGTGAAAAAATGAGCCCTAGTTCTTGTGGATCCATTATTGATGTCGAACTATCCTCGCGTGGATTTTGTTTGATTTGGAGGCAAAATTGGTTGAAAGTTGAAGATCAAAATTGTCACAAGGTGTTTAGAGGAGTAGGGTGGAACCGTGGAAGTGGAGGTGATGACAACGACGATGATGGTTAGGTAGGATTAAAGCTCCACCCAGGAAGGATGAGATTACGGGCAAGAAGCTAGCTTCTTTCAGACCAAACTTGCTCTAAGAAATTTAACCTGTTTGCTACAAAATCGAAAAGCTGGGGGATTGTACAATTTATTCTCCCAACAGACATACATTAGGGTCAAATTGCAGTAAGCACTATAGGTTGGGGATCAATGCTGCAATTTTATATTTTTCAATTTTATTTTTTTATATTTTTTAATTTAAGAGAAGGACAAAAGGATTTTCAATAAAATTTTATTTATTAACTAAAATGATTATGATACAATTGTACACTAACGGAGTAAATGATGTCATAAATGTTTCATTTAAAGGTTGTTGGTCAAAGCACATCATTTCAAGTATAAGCAGCAGCAGCGATAGCCGTCTCAGGCCTTCTAATTATGTCCCCGTTCGATAGGGATTAATTTTAATTCAAGTCAAAGTCAATAATTAATTTTAACTACATATTTTATGGATTCACAATTTTTAAACCATACATTTCATCAAGTTTTATCAAAATTTACTAAAAATATAATTTTAATCCTTACCAAGAGCTATATCTTGACTCATCCAAGCATTGCTTATCCCCCGCACTGTTGGGAATCTACTTATACATGCACAGCGGAATTTAAAATAATTTTCGATTCCCACCAAGAATCGCCTTTGTGTTTAGATAGAAATTGTGATAAGATTGTACCTTTTCCAGATCGGCAATCTTTTTGCTTTTCTTTTCGTTCCATCAACCTTGATTCGCCACCACAGCTGTCCAATTGTCCAGCCTCCAACGGTGATCCACACAGAGAATATGATTGCAGCCTCTAGGGTTTTCTCTTGTGCCAGCAAGAATAATGAAAACCTTATGGACCTCAAACTCTAGTTATGTATTTATATAAACCCAAATAGACTCGGTCCGGTCCGGTCCAATAATTAATTAATCCAATTAATTAAACCCAGTCCGTGAATTAATTAATCCAATTAATTAATTCGAAAATATAAATAATAAATCCAATTAATTAATTTATCCAACGATTGTTAAATTAACCAATTGACAATTTGCAATCTTCCAATTCTCTTTTGTGTGTGACCCATTAGGTTCCCGACCACGATGTCTAACGACGTGAAATATTATTTTGATCTAATCAAAATTGATAAATTAAAACACCCCTTTTAATTTATCGTCAATTCACATTAGCCGTCCCTGATTGACATCTAGCAATGTGTCAGGGCAATACATGTGACGGAAAATGTCACGTGGTATGACAAAACCAAATTCGTTCGTTTACCGTGAAACTATAATCCCTTCGTCAATATGATCCGATCAATTACGAGATATGGAGTTGTGTCAATCTCGATCATCGATCATATCTTTCACTCCACTATTAAGTCAATATAAATCGAAAACTCCTTTTCGACTTATGAGTACACCTTGGCCAAGGATTTCATCATTGACTTAATTGAATGAAACGCAGATCATAATCTCCTACTATCTAAGAGTGACGAATCCTTTATTGATCAATCACAACCTTCATACGATTCTTGACGTACCCGAACGATATCGTATTAGCGGCCCTTTTCAGAGCAACATCCAACACTGCCAAA